TTTATCGACTTCGTTGAGGATCGTCTATGTCGAAGATGCAGTTTCTTTCCATTGCTGGACTTCTACACTGAGTTGTCCTACTGAACGATTTTCGTCGTCAGACTACAGTCCTTCCGACCTCGTCGCAGCGACTACGGTCCTCCTGACTTTATGTCGCCCGCGACTAACAATCCTTTCCGATCTCCGTCTGCACCATCCGGCCGACCTTACGTTCTGTCTCGTCGCCCACTCGACCTACGGTTCCGTCACCCGCGCGACTACAGTGTCCTGGTTCGCCGGCTGACTACGGTCCTCCGTGATCCTAGTCGTCGCCCGCCAGACTAGAGAATTGCAGTCATTCTAAGCAAACAATAAAACATGGTGCGATAGTAGCTCTTTGTATTTCTACATCAAATGTAATGTACTCCATAAGATGTACATCAAGGCTAAGCCTTACTTCCAAAGGAAGGGGGCCTCCATCTTGTAATCGACTTGCCGAAATACTTAGTGGATAGTCGATGTTAACACAATGGGGCTACTAAGGACCCCAGTGGCTTTTTGCCCCCTTTTACAGGGTATTCCACCTGTAAAAATCTTATGGTGTCCTCATAAATGCTAGAACCCTCTGACACTCCTTAATTCGCTGATTGTCGTGCTCAGTGTACGGTCAGTAAAACGCTAAACGATAAAACTTTGTATATCATATTAATCCATCTGGACAAACCCGAATACCTATACTTTAAAATAATTTTAAATATTTAACTATGCTCAAATGAATTATGATAAAATTTTTGAAAAATTAACAAATAGTAGCATTCCTGTTGGCTTCGTGAAAAGCTTTAATTATTTAAATATTTTAGATGAAAGTTATATAGGAGATTATCATTAAATTTGCAGTCGGAACGGGGGCTGAATAAAATATTAATTAATAATTTTGCCTACATTTTATTTTTTTAGAGATTTTTTTTTAACTTGTTAAACAAATAATGTAAACTTAATACACACATATAATATATATACCTTTACATATATAATTATCATCAATATATATAATATAATATATATATATATATTATATAAATATATATATATATATAATATAATATGAAACTTCAAATTTTAAAATCTATTCTAGTTGATCAGTCTAACTTCCCAACCAACTTAATCAAAATATAAGCAACTCAGTTTGATATGTTAGCTTGAGAAGTTTTGACTTATCAATTATGATTATTTTTATGAAGTATTGCATTTTTTTTTTTTTGGGAAAATTAGGGGCAATCATGCTCAAATTCATTCAAAAAATGAAATATTGCAAAAAAAAAAAAAATAATACATAAGTGATAGTAAGAAAGACCATCCATTATAATGCAAAAAAATATAAGGGGAAAGAGGACATCCTTGACGAAGACCAGAAGAAGAGTTAAAAAATCCATTAAGAGAACCATTAATCACAATAGAGAAATGAACATCATCAATACATCCTTTGATACAAGAAATAAAAGTCTGAGGAAACCCTTTATGCACCATTCTAGAGTAAATAAAATCTTTTAAAACCATATCAAAAGCTTTATGAATATCCAATTAGTGCAAAAGCATTTATCTTTACCCGGAAAGTTAAAATCTCTTAGCAAATTAGAAGCTAGAATAATGTTATCCATATATATTCTCTTTTTAATAAAACTGGATTGATTAGGATTAATAATAAAGGGCAAAACCCCCTTCATCCTATTAGTCAAAATCTAGCGATAGTCTTATAAAACATGTCACATAAGGAAATAGGCCTATAATCAATAATTTGAGAGGCATTAGGATATGCTTAGGAATAAGAGTGATGGCAGTGGCTTTAGTAGCCTTAGACATATAACTAGTATTAAAAAAAAATGAAGAAACGCTTTATAAAACCCAGACCCAACTATAGACCAAGAAATTTTTTTTTTTAAATAAAATGTAAAATCGTCTGGTCTTAGAGAAGAAGAAGCAGACCCATAAAATACCACATTTTTAATCTCTACATAAGAAACCAGAGTAGTAAGCGAAGCCAAAAGAACATCCAGAATACAAATTACCAGCTAGAATAACAAAAGAAGAAAAAAATAGCTTTGGGAAATTAAAGAAATTCTTAAAATGCTTCACAAAAGCCTCAGAAATATTTTTGTAATTAGAAAGAACACCAGAGTCAGCATAATGAATATGAATTCTGTTCATATTTTGTCTTTGGCAAATTTTAGAATATAGAAAGCCTAAATCATCTTCATCATGACTAAGCCAATTCGTTTTTAGCTCTTTGCAAGATCCAAGAAGACCAAAAAGATTGATTATAACTAAGTAACCCATTAACTTTCTTTGTGCCTAAATTAAGCTCAAAATCCAACGGATTCGCTTGAATCTTCTTAAGTAACTCTTCTTGCATATTAAGAAGAATTTCAATATTAATAGAAATAGATTTAGAAGAAGCCCAAGACTTACATTTAACCAGGCCTTTAAGATTGCACAAATTATCATAAAAAACATTAATAGCAAAAACATCAATAAGATGATCCCATAATTTTGACTTTTTAAACAAAACATTCTTAAAAAGAAATCTATTCATGCTAAGAGATATATTATTATTGCAAACAATAAGAGGAAAATGATCGGAACATTTAGGGCTATCCACGTGATAACAAGAATAAGAGAAAGCATCCAACCAATGCTTATTGACTAAGACCCTATCCAATTTGATATGAATAGGATTATCTAATTTTTTTATTAAGCTAAGAAAAAAAATTACCAACCCAAGCAAGATCATGCAAACCAGTATTAAAAATAAAATTATTAAAACCCCATAATTTGGCACAAGAAAGAGTAGTCCCCCCATATTTCTCATTGACAAATCTGCAATAGTTAAAATATCTTAATAAAATCCAAGGAGAAGAGATATTACTAGCTAAATTAAGGATATCCTGCCAAAGAGATAACCTATCCACAACAGAATTAGAAGCATAAATAATAGTAAAAAAGAGGAGAACAAGAATCGATAGTAATCATTCTCAGTCACAGGCATTAATGAATCCTCCTTCTTGAGAAGTGTTGTGTATGTAGCTCTTTCAACGACAAATTATTTTGATCTTTTGGAGGAGTTTTAGGATTTTCTTTTGTTTGTTTTGTTTCTTGCAGATCATTTCTTAGGCTGTTCTTGTTTTCACTTTTTTATTTTCTCTTGGTAAGATCTGCTTTAGTATTTTCTTGTTGATCTATGGATTTTGCAAAAGATTTTCCATCTTTATCTTAAGCTAAAGTCCTAGATAAAACATCCAAGTGCCTCTAAGTTATTCGAATGCTTGGACGGGATTATTGGCATATCTTCAGTCATTCCCAAAACCTTTCTCGGTTACCTTTTTTCCTTCGACTGATGATCTTACCCTCTTTTCTGAAGATGATGTTTCATCTGCCTCGATTAAATGGGGTTTGACGTTGGTTGGGTATTCTCTGGGTAAGCGTCCTTATTTCGAAGCATAAAAATTATGTTATGCTTAAATCTTGGAAGCTTAAAGATAATCTTACTCTTCTTGCCCTTAGTGAGGGTTTTTTCTTAATGAAATTTTCTTGCCTGAAAGATTACGATTTTGTTTGGTCTAGAGGACCTTGGTTTTTCTTTGGAAACCTTTTATTATTCAGCAATGGTCGCCATTGTATTGGCCTAAACGTGAAGAATTTGATTATATTCATTTATGGATTAAACTTCTTGATCTTCCCCTGATTGTTGGATTCCTGAAGGCATTTATAAGATTGCGAGTTTAATTGGTATTCCAATTGTTGTAGATGCTTTAGCATTTGATCAAGCCAGACTTACATTTGTTAGGGTTTGTGTTTTAATTACAAATGATTCACCTCTTCCGGAAGAGGATAAAATCTCTATTGTTAGAACTACTATTTTTTTTTAAAAAATTAGGTATGATTGGCAGCCTTCTCGTTATTTTGAGTGTGGTTCTATTGTTCATCTCACTTCTTTATGTTATACTAAATCCTAGGGATAAAAAAAAGATAAAGGTTATTGAAATTAATGATAGAGGGCTTAATAGGACCAGAAAAGTCTAGAAGAAGGCTTTTAGACCGTCTAAATCATCTTTGCCTAAGGAAAGTTCTGTTCAAAATTCTGATAATATTCCTGTTAATTATGATTCTTCTATTCCCCCGATTATTTCTAATAATTTTTATGGGTTAAAATCTCGGCAATATCATCTTCCTTCGGTTAAAGTGGAAGGTTCAGTGTTGATTTCGGGAAAATCTTTAGTTGATAATTTTGAAGTTAATACTTTGTTTATTAAAGATTCTTTGCCTAATCTAAATTCTCCTTCAGAAGAGCCTTTGACTGACTTATTAGTTGCTGCTGATGCTAATTTGGTTAATACTCATAATAAGTTTATTCAGGAAGATTTATCTGATGACTCTAATATGCAAAATAAGTTTTAGGTTTTACATAATTTGGAGAATAATTCGGTTGATATTTCAACAGATGTCCATATTACTTTATCTAAGAGCAAGGATTTTATTTCAGCGGCTAATTCTGCTATTGAGAAACTGGTTCTTAAGGTGCCACTAGCATCATGAAAATCTACTCGTTCTAAAAATGCCGAGAAGTCACCTAACTCTTTTATCAAGTATTAATATTTTTTTCCTAATATTGCTTCTTGGAATGTTAGAGGGTTTCATAATCTTGATAGAGTTACTGCTTGCAATAATATTATTAAAAATTTTGATATTAATTTCTTTAGCATTCTTGAAGCTTAAATTAAGTTGGAGCATGTTAATGATCCTTGATTCATTGTTCATCATAGACTCTTCAATCAAGAAGGCAATTTTTATAATTTTAATTTTTCTTATGGTGAAAGAATTTGGTTGAAATGAAATGCTTCTTATGTCTCTTTTAATTGCATTATGGCTTCTAATCAAAGTATTACATATATGACGTGTGTTTATTTTAATTGATATAAATATGAATAATAAAAAAAAAAATTTCCTTCCTTTACGGTTGACGCGTTTGGAATAAATTAAAAACGGAAATGTTCATTTTTATTGCGGCGTAGAGCTTTATCACCGCCATCCTTCTTCCAATTTCTAATGCGATTTTTGGGCTTCGTTTTGCGACGGCGATGGGCAATGTAAGAGCTCTCCTCCTCCTCCTGATCCTCCCCGTCCTGGTCTCCTCCTCCCGCTTTCTACTCCATGAAGAGCAGCCTCTGCACTCTTCAACCACAAGTAATCTATCAGCTTTTCCTTCCTTTTTATTTTATTAATCGATCTCCTTTCTCGGTTGGATGAAACCCTAGTTATTATTCCAGCAGCTCTTTACCTTTTTGTCTTTTCTATTATTATTATTGAGAATGATTATGATGGCTTTTATTGAAATGGGTTTAAGGAATCCATGCTTTTTTCAATTTCCATGTTATAAAAGCTCAGAAGAAATAGATTGTGGTAGAAATGAGGCATTGGGAGGTCTAGGGCTGGTCCAATTGTGAGTAAAACGTGAAAGAATTAGATTTGTGAGAAGAATATTTCTACAATCTTTAATTTAAATTGGCTACATACATCAGTTGTTAATAATTAATATTTTGTAAAAATGTGTAATGTTTTCCCTAATTTTGGATATAAGATTTTTAAAGAAAAATTTGTGTGGGGATTTCCTGAAGCTAGTTGCATTCGGATGGGTCTCATACTTGTTGGATTTGTATTGTGATTAGTGCAGGTTTTTGATATCATATAGCGATAATCTCAATATAAATCCAACGGTATGAACTCAATATTTTCCTTTCATTTAAGATCTTTGACCTAGATCTAGATATAAAATCTTCATCTAAATATAAAATTTAATAGGATTTAAAATATTTCATTCATATATATACATATACACAAAAATCTTTAGTAATAGGATGTCTTCACTAAAAATTAATCAGGATAGTTCTTTAATCCCTGGTATTTCCTCTGATGAGATGGTTATAAAATTTTAATCAAAATACATGGAACAATTTTATATTAAGATATTCTAACTACAAATTGATTAGGATTATTATTAAAGCTTTTGGATCTATGAGTACATAAATGATTAAAGTATTGCTCATCTGAAGTCAAATCAAAGAGTTTTGTGATCCAATATTAAAATTTTGATCTAAATATTTTGTCATATTGTTTTTCATATTTTGAAAGTTTTTCAATCAAATATAAGAATTTTAGCGTTTGATGATTGTGAAGTTAGCATATTTTTGCAAATATTCTTATTTTAATTTGAATGAGGTCATTTAGTTGGCATATGAGCAATTGATCATCTTGCTATATCTTAAATATTATAATAAATAAAATATGAAATGCCAATTTATTTAAATGCAAAGTTGAAAGGATGGCATCATGTTGCAGAATTCATAAACCCGAGTGAATGGTAAAGTTACAGAGAGATTATTCTGTGCAGTGTTTGGATGCATCCGGAGGTCAATCCGGATGTGCTACGGGTGACGTGGCACATCTGAATTGGCCTCCAGACACATTCAAACATCGCACGTATTAATTTTTCAAAGTTATGAAATTCATTAGCTTAGTGGAAAGAAAGTGGTGATGAATAAAGGCAAAAGAAAAAAAAAAAACAAAAAAAGAATAATGTACGTTAAATAATATTCTTTTTTTCTACTTAGTTGTTTAGCTTTACTTTCCAACCCAGAATTTAGTGTCTGGAAAAAGTTATGGGGGGGTGGGGAAAGCAATGTGCTTGGAGTTTCAGTCGTAATTTTTTTTATTTGGAAAGTACTTGATTTATTCACTTACATAAAAATGGCTTAAATATATTTTTGGTATTTTAGTTATTTGTGTTCTTTGTTTCTAGTAGTAGATGATTAAACAAAGCCTTAGGTGTCCCTACATGTAATTTTTGATGAGATTGACTTACCGCTCAAAATTTTTTGAACTAGAAATTTTTCTTCTAAAAAATTACTTTAGAAAACAGCAAGAAAGATGTCCCAATCAAAACCTTACTAATGATGCAACTTATTTTTGTTTGTGAATTGATTTTAATTCATGCAACTTAGACAAAAAATTTACAAATTAATCATTGTTGTGTCCAATTAAGGTTATGTTCAAGTGTTTGTTTTCTTCCATTTTATATATAATAATTAATAAAATAGGATAATTAATGATAAATGTATTAATATTTAACTTTTAGTAAATATGAAATAATAAAATAATATCAATCAAATAAAAATGAAAATAGGTAAATGTTAAACTCTGCTTCATTCAATCAGGTGTAGAGATGGAGGTCGATGAGGTGACTTGTGGAGCTGTTGAAAGTTGGTATATATTGGCTGACGTTTTGCAGAGAGATTAATTTGGCTAAATTTTAGTTAGTAATATTATTTAAATAAAAGCAATGCATAACAAAAAAAAATTAAAAAAGATTAAAACATGAAATTGATTCACATTTTCATGAAAATTCACTATTAAAGTATAAAATAGCATTTCATATTTTAAAACACTATTTCATTTTTTTTTTCACTTTAGGAGTTTGCTTTATTTATTTTTAGTATAAAATCTTTTATTTTATGAAAGTAATTACGACATGTTTTTATATAAATTTTAAACAATTTCTAATTATCTTCTTTGAAAACATTAACATGAATAAATTTTGCTGTCAAAATGTGAAAGTATTTTGTTTTGATGAAAATATGAATCAATTTTATATTTTTGATCCTTTTTATTTTTTAATGTGATGTTTTTGCTTATCATTGGCTCCTTATTAAAATTTTGTTAATTATTTTCTCCATTGAGTGACTGAAGTGGTGGTCTGATATAGGAGGTTATATGTTTTTCTTGAACTTTGATGTGCAAATATTTGATTAATTAACCATAAGGGCTTGCCGGCTTGCCCTTATGACGATATTCCAGAATAAAATAAATTCTATCTTATTGACATGAGACAGGACTATTTTTTGAGAATGTAGACATTTTTCTAAAATCTATTTTCATTTTCAAATCCATTTTAGAATACACTTTTCTGGATTTATTATAGGGATATTATTTTTATAAACAATAATATTAATTTTTTTTTTCTGTTATGTAAACAAGAATAATTAACTCTGACCTGGTATTAAGGTTGCTTAAAACCATGGCTACATTACTTGTATTTGTATTAAAATCCAAGCATCACTAATAGAGTTCATCATCTTTCATCTATCTACTTGTATTTGTATTAAAACCCAGTAGTAATATAAAGTTTCCTACAAATCCTGACTGTATTACTAGAGTTTGGAGAAACTCCAGCATTATATCAAGATTAATTGTTCTTATTTGCAATCCCTTGTATATTATTTTACTAGCAATCAATAAATGTTCTCTGAATATCATAATGTTCATGCTCGGAGTGGCTGAGGCCTTGAACCTCCACCAAATTCTACTTAATGATATCTTGCAACCCGTACTACTATCAAAGACTAACAAGAACCTTACTCTGACTATTTCATTTGCAGAGCAAAATATGGCCACTGCCATAAGGAAGGGCGGTGGCGGTGGCCATGGCGGTGGCCATGGCGGTGGCCGTGGCGGTGGCCGTGGAGCCCGTGGAGATAGTAATGGCTCTTCATCTTCATCTTCTTCTTCACCATATGGTAAAGCCATTCCCTTGATAACAGAGGGATCTGTTCTTCCGAAGAGTTTAGGTGCTTCTTCCCATAAGCACAAGCACAATTCAGCTCACAGTGGCTACAGTTTCTCCATTGCTACCTTGCTCATCGTCTCTGCGTTCTGGCTCGACTCACTGGCTTGTTTGTGTAGTTTTTAATATTAGAAAGAAATATGAAAGTATGATCCATACTAGGGAATCTACAGGAATATCTATATGGGTTTTCTGGTTTTTCTCATTACTTTCTTCTATGAAATACAGTGCATATATATATATATATATATATGGAATAATACAGATACATCGATTGGATCATAGTAAACCGAGAAGTTATAAAGCAGGGGTGTAGATGTTTTGTTCTGAAATTGCTGCAGAGAATAAGAGATTGTGGAGCAGACAAAACAGTTGAGTTGAAAGTGATTTGTTATCATTAAATAGTGAGGGACTGCATACTAACTTTATCAGGCACCTTCAAATTGATCAGCTAAGGTTGGATGGTTAATTTATCTCTAAGATAATGAAATATGATATTCGGCAATTTGATCATGGTAAGAAGCAAGGTAAATTATAACTGTTTTAAATTTCAATGTCTTTAGTTTTCATATGAAAAAAATGGATTGCTTGCGAGAGAGATTGTTGAAATATTGTCACAGTAAATGGGAGAGGGAGCTCAAGTGTCGATACGAAAATCTTTAGGCGGTTTTCTTAGCCAAATAAGTTCTGCTTCTATGGACGAGCGAGCTAAAGTAGTTTGCTTCTTTGTGGCCCAAGAAATGTGAGCCAGTTCAAGAAAAATACAGTATCATGTAATTGATTTGCGATCAATTTTATCCTTTGCCCAATCGACATCTGCAAAGGTATGGATGGCAAAGTTGCCCGAGTAGATAGGTAGTCCAAAATTCAAGGCACCTTGAATTTATCTTAGAATATATTTAAGTATAATGAAGTGCTGAATTTGAGGAGAATGCATGTGTTGACACACATGATTTACATCATAAGTAAGATCAGGGCGAGTTAATGTTAAGTATTGTAATGAACCAACATTGTGATGGTATAGGGATGGGCCTGAAAATGGTCTTTCAGATGAAGGCAAAACAGGTTGCTTGCTGGGCAATGGACTGAGTATGGGCTTGCAATCACTCATTCCAGCCCTTTTAAAAATAATAGTAGCATAGTTGTGTTGATGAAGAAGTATACCAGTGCTGATAGAGATGCCTGTAGGCCAAGAAAGTTAGCTAATGGACCCAGTATTTTCAGCTGAAATCTGGACAGCAAATGTGATAGCAGTGCTGACCAAGAAGCAGAATTATTGCCCTATCATCCACTTAGATCAATAGATACAATAGTTGATCTTGCTTTTCATTAATAAAGAGGAGGTGATTTAACAGCAATAGTACAACATGTAGAATCAATGGGTGAAGTAGAATGATGTAGAAGTCTGAAGATTAGTTTTGGTTTGAGATTACCTGTTTTTGGCCAAGTGAGCATAGGATATTCTATGGGAGATGGAGGAGGTGCAGGTATATATGGTGAAGGAAGAACAGGGGGAGATAGAGTTTACATCTAAAAGCAAGGTGGGAGTAGTTTCAATAATGTGATGATGCTTGCGTTCAACAATCCCATTTTGTTGGGGTGTATAACCCATTATTGTTGGAACTTTGAAGTAGAAGTCGATTGGTCTTCGAAGCCTTTATTTGAAAACTATGGGGAAGAAATAAGATTAAAATAATTTTTTTGTGAAGTTAGTTGATTAACATATAGAAGTTTATGTTTAAGTAGTGAAACAAAATAAAGAGCTTGCGTGTGGGGGTGGGTAAAATACCTCTACCAGATGCACCAATAAGCAAAGTGTGCCCATTACCTACAACTGTATTTTGAGTTCAAGTAATCAATCAGTAGAAATAAGTTGTGAATTCGGAGCAGCCAATGCTGTGAATGGTTGAGTTGGTGGTTGATATGACAAAACTGAAAGAATGAACCCATTTTAAGAGATCTGACATTCAATAGAAATGTTCCTACTACGACCACCATGAGCTTAATTATTTCTTCCACCTTTGAAGCCTAGTCTTCCATGATATTGTGTAAGAGGTATGTATCTGCCACGACCTTGACCTCGATATGCATTGAGAGCTTCTTGAGATTCAAAACAATCAGGAAGGTGAGTATCAGGCAGAGCTTCAACAACCAATGTAATCTCTTCACTATAGACCAATGTAGTTTGGTGTATATGGCGGTTTTGAATGTATGATATAATGCAGGAAGTCCATTCAACGTATATAAAATAACGATCTTCTGTGTATATGGAAGTTTATGTAGAATTTATGGCATCAACCTTAGATTTTATAAGAAACAGATATTGGGTCATGGACATATCTCTTATAGTGTCACACCGCAGGATCTATAATTGAAGAATTGCATATATTTTTCATTTTAGTCATTCAACTAGAGCTTACCAATTTCTTATTATATATATATATATATCCGAAGAGTTTAGGTGCTTCTTCCCATAAGCACAAGCACAATTCAGCTCACAGTGGCTACAGTTTCTCCATTGCTACCTTGCTCATCGTCTCTGCGTTCTGGCTCGACTCACTGGCTTGTTTGTGTAGTTTTTAATATTAGAAAGAAATATGAAAGTATGATCCATACTAGGGAATCTACAGGAATATCTATATGGGTTTTCTGGTTTTTCTCATTACTTTCTTCTATGAAATACAGTGCATATATATATATATATATATGGAATAATACAGATACATCGATTGGATCATAGTAAACCGAGAAGTTATAAAGCAGGGGTGTAGATGTTTTGTTCTGAAATTGCTGCAGAGAATAAGAGATTGTGGAGCAGACAAAACAGTTGAGTTGAAAGTGATTTGTTATCATTAAATAGTGAGGGACTGCATACTAACTTTATCAGGCACCTTCAAATTGATCAGCTAAGGTTGGATGGTTAATTTATCTCTAAGATAATGAAATATGATATTCGGCAATTTGATCATGGTAAGAAGCAAGGTAAATTATAACTGTTTTAAATTTCAATGTCTTTAGTTTTCATATGAAAAAAATGGATTGCTTGCGAGAGAGATTGTTGAAATATTGTCACAGTAAATGGGAGAGGGAGCTCAAGTGTCGATATGAAAATCTTTAGGCGGTTTTCTTAGCCAAATAAGTTCTGCTTCTATGGACGAGCGAGCTACAGTAGTTTGCTTCTTTGTGGCCCAAGAAATGTGAGCCAGTTCAAGAAAAATACAGTATCATGTAATTGATTTGCGATCAATTTTATCCTCTGCCCAATCGACATCTGCAAAGGTATGGATGACAAAGATGCCCGAGTAGATAGGTAGTCCAAAATTCAAGGCACCTTGAATTTGTCTTAGAATATATTTAAGTATAATGAAGTGCTGAATTTGAGGAGAATGCATGTGTTGACACACACGATTTACATCATAAGTAAGATTAGGGCGAGTTAATGTTAAGTATTGTAATAACCAACAATGTGATGGTACATGGATTGGCCTGAAAATAGTCTTTCAGATGAAGGTAAATCAGGTTGCTTGCTGGACATGGACTGAGTATGGGCTTGCAATAACTCATTCCAGCCCTTTTAAAAATATTAGTAGCATAGTTGTGTTGATGAAGAAGTATACCAGTGCTGATAGAGAGACCTGTAGGCCAAGAAAGTTAGCTAATGGACCCAGTATTTTCAGTTGAAATCTGGACAACAAATCTCATGGCAGTGCTGAGCAAGAAGCAAAATTATTTCCCATTAAGAGGATATCATCCTCTTAGATCAATAGATACAATAGTTGATCTTTCTTTTCATTAATAAAGAGGAGGTGATTTAACAGCAATAGTACAACATGTAGAAAGTAGAATGATGTAGAAGTGTGAAGATTAGTTTTGGTTTGAGATTGCCTGTTTTTGACCAAGTGAGCATAGGATATTCTATGGGAGATGGAGGAGCTGCAGGTATATCTGGTGAAGGAAGAACAGGGGGAGATGAAATTTACATCTAAAAGCAAGGTGCCAGTAGTTTCAATAATGTGATGATGCTTGCGTTCAACAATCCCATTTTGTTGGGGTGTATAGAGACTAGAAATCTGATGTGTTATACCATGTTAAATTAAAATTTGTTTGAAGGAATTGTTTACGAATTCCTTGCCATCATCTATCATTAGAGTAATAATTGAGTTAGAAAATTGCTTCTCCACAACAATTTTGAATTGTTGAAATTTAGTGAATGTTTCAGATTTAGCAAGCATTGGATATTACCATGAATAACTAGTCCACAAAAAGAATATGGTAATGAAAACCATTACATGGGGACATCAGAGCTGGTCCTCATACATCAGAATGTATTAATTGTAATGGTATGAAAGTACATGATGTAGATAAGAGAAAAGTAATTCTACGCATTTAGCTTGAGAGAAAGAAGTGATAGTTTTGACAAATACATTTAATGCAAGTATATTTGCGTAGCAGAGAATTCAACACAGTAATTTGTGGATGACCCAAATGCTTGTACCAAAGGTCTGAGGAGTAGGAGACAGCGAGAAAGAAAGTCGAAGAGGTGTATGGAGAAGCAGTTGATTGAAGTGAGTATAACCCATTACTGTTGGAACTTTGAAGTAGAAGTGGATTGGTCTTCGAAGCCTTTATTTGAAAACTATGGGGAAGAAATAAGATAAAATAATTTTTTTTGTGAAGTTAGTTGATTAACATATAGAAGGTTATGTTTAAGTAGTGAAACGAAATAAAGAGCTTACGTGTGGGGGTGGATAAAAAAGATGCACCAATAAGCAAAGTGTGCCCATTACCTATTTTGAGTTTAAGTAATCAATCAGTAGAAATAAGTTGTGAATTCGGAGCAGCCAATGCTGTGAATGGTTGAGTTTGTGGTTGATATGACAAATCTGAAAGAATGAACCCTTTTTAAGCAGATCTGACATTTAATAGAAATGTTCCTACTGCGACCACCATGAGCTTAATTATTTCTTCCACCTTTGAAGCCTACTCTTCCATGATATTGTGTAAGAGGTATGTATCTGCCATGACCTTGACGTCGATATGCATTGAGAGCTTCTTGAGATTCAAAACAATCAGGAAGGTGAGTATCATGCAGAGCTTCAACAACCAATGTAATATCTTCACTACAGACCTATGATGCACCGACACGCCTCTTAAAGAGGGTGTGTAGTGTCGGACACGTGTCAGACACGGACACGCGTCGGACACGGCATGGACACGTGTCCGACACGGCATTGGAGTGTCGGAATTTAAAACATTAAAATTTAAATCGGACACACGTGTCCGGTTATTAAATGATAAAATCGTCCGTTCTATTTAGCCTTTTCGCGAACGAGAAGCCCTATTTTTCCGATCCACGAAAGAAATCTTCTAGGGCGGACCGGGAGAGCTCACAGTCGACGCCAAACGTAGCCCGCTGCCTTCGCCTCCTATTCCTTCATCATTTCTGCTCGGCCAAGCAGAGCTTGTCTTTCCCATTCCTTCGTTCTTGCGTTATTTCTGCTGTCATTCGAGGCAAAGTTTGCAATCAAGGCCAAATAGAGCACCTTCTGCGCGCAAGAGAGCCAAGAACTGTAAGTGAATTTCGTCATTTCTTCTCTTCATTGTTGAAAAACCTGATGTACATGCTCGGTACCACTCGGTATCGCTAGGTACATGCTCGGTACCACTCAATAAATGCTTGGTACTGCTCAGTACATGCTCGGTACTGCTAGGTATATGCTCGATACTGGTAGGTACATGCTCGGTACTGGTAGGTACATGCTCGGTACTGATAGGTTACTACTCGGTACTGTTAGGTACATGCTCAGTACTGGTAGGTACATGCTCGGTACTGGTAGGTTACTGCTCGGTACTGGTAGGTACATGCTTGGTACTGGTAGGCACATGCTCGGTACTGGTAGGTATACGCTCGGTACTGGTAGGTACATGCTCGATATTGGTAGGTACATGCTCGGTACTGCTAGGTACATGCTCGGTACTGGTAGGTATACGCTTGGTACTGGTAGGTACATGCTCGGTACTGGTAAGTACATGCTCGGTACTGCTAGGTACATGCTCGGTACTGGTAGGTATATGCTCGGTACTGCTAGATACATGCTCGGTACCACTCGGTATCTTCACATACAAACAACTTACGAACTTTAAAAATAAGCAGAACATCAAAATTACTCTTACAATAAAATTTTTTTTCGGGGGCAACTCTCCCTTGGACCCCCGCAGGGGTGCTGCCCCTTGACCCTGCGACCTGACCGGGTAGGTCGAACCCTGCCAGGGGGCAGCGCCCCCTTGGACCCCCGGCAGGCTGGTATATTATTTTATTCATGTTGTGATTTTTTTATTTCACTTCATATCATTTTAATTCGATGTATTCATATGCATGATTGGTTTATTAGCAAAATGAGCTCGGCTGCTGGTGGGAGTGGATTAGGTGAAGGTTCAAAAGAGCCATCTGTAGAAACTGATAAGCCATTATGGATTCATGTTACAAAGTTAGGAAAAATATTTGAAGGAGGAGGGAATGTGTCATTCAAATGCAATTATTGTGGTGGCACCTACAAAGGATCTTATTCTAGGGTGAAGGCACATCTACTAAAATTTCTGGCCATAGAATAAAAATGTGTCCTAAGATTACTACGTCGCAGTTGATTGAATTGAGCAAACAAGTTGATGAAGCTGAATCTAGGATCCAAGAACACTCCCTAAAGAGGTACCTTTGCCATCTACTCATGGCTCATCTCACACTTCTTCCTCATCTGTGAGAGTTGATCAAGCTTTATCATTTGAAAGTGAAGGATATGAAACAAAGAAAAGAAAAGGAGTAGCCAGTAGTCCTCTAGAGAAGGCTTTTAATTTGCAGCAGCGAGAGGAATTGGATGGTGAAATAGCAATGATGTTTTTTTTCAGCGTGACATCCTTTCAACCTTGCAAGGAATCCTCATTATAAAAATGCATTCATTTTTGTATGTAACAACAACCTCGCAGGATATGTTCCACCTAGGACTGTCAATAATTGACACGACCCGATAACTCGACTCGAACACGACCCGGAATTTTCGGGTTGGACCCGCCCGTTTGGAAAACAGGTCAGGTTCGGGTTCATAAAAATGACACGAATTGAATTTCGGGTCGGGTTCGGGTTAACCCGGTAACCCGTTAAACGACACGTTTGACACGTGAATTTATTTCACGCGTAGCGTGCGGAATGCGGATTACTTATGTCGTGTTAGGGTTTACGCCATCCATTCTCATTTTACGCGCCGTAGCTCTCCTCTCCTTCACTACATCTAGGGTTTCCGAAGTTTCGTTTCTTCTCTATAGATCTCCTCGATCTGT